GGAGCCCGCGGCGGCGCGCGGGGCACGCCGGGAGTTGGAGTCCGCCCGCCCCCCGCGGCCGGGGACACACAGGACGCGGCGCCGCCGGAACGCCGCTGGTTTAACGCTGCTTTAACCGTTTCCTGCCCGAAACGCACGGCGCTGCCACCGCAAGCTCGCACCCGGGAAAAATAAAACAAACAGTTTTATAAAGTCTTCGCCGTTTAAGCGTTTTCCCCGCAAAAGTGCACGTCGCGCTCTGCCGTGCCCAGCCGCAGCCCCGGGAGCTCGCTGCCGGCCCGTCCCGCACCGCTCCTGCCACGCTCGCCAGCTTTACACCAGGACATTGCCCAAAGGCTCCTCCAGGCAGGCTCTGGGACACGCAGGGCTGGCAGCCCGGCCGGCCGGCCTCCTGATCCTGCCCCTCCTCAGCAGCTCCCTCACGCAGGGCACACCAAGAGCAAGCAAGCGTTCCTTCGGGACCGCAGGAACCATTTCCCCTCTTTGACCTTCAGCCCGGCCCCTCGCAGGAGGGTGACTGTGCCCAGCACAGACCCCGGCACGCTCGGGGTGCCACAAACCCGCTGGCAATTCCTGCCAGGCGAGCAATTCCCTGCTCTGGATGTCTCTCAGACAGAACACGGCTCTGCCGCCTCTACAGCAGCAACGCCAGCAGCTCTGCAAGAAAAAAAAAGTGCTTTATACCAAGGTTTGCCTGCAAAGGAGCCACAGCAGTGCCAGCTGTGCTCACTGCCCCGGAGCTGCACTCAGCGAAAAACAAAACCCGTCCTGCTCGACTGCAGAACTGGGTACGGAGGAATCCTCCTTCCAGTAGGTGCAATCCAGGCCTGCATTGTGCAGCACATACAGACAAGTTTATTTCCTCCTCGTGATTCAAGTCCCAGCACCACACATGGCATTTCAATACCACAAAAGCAATTGCAGAATACCCTGAGCTGGGAGGGATCAGTCCGCTCCTGGCCCTGCTTGGGAATCCCACCACATGCCTCTAAAAACCATTTGGAGATACAGAGTCAATGCACTACTGTTACTCTTTAAAATCCAATATTTTGCTCAACAAACCACAACACAGCACTGTCATTACAGCTGGGTTTTCTGGGCCAGGAAATTCACATTTCATTATTTTTCTAAGGGTGTGTGAGACCACCTGGGCTTGCAGCCAGAGCCACCCAGAGGTCTCTGCTGACCACACAAATGCCCAAAACACAGCTATACCTACGTGAAAATATTCAGCTGAGGACAGCAGAGAGACTAATGCTGGTTTTTATGCCCTAGCAGGGAACTGCAGACAACCAGCCCACTCCTGGGCTGTCCCTTGCAGTCCCAGGTGTCCCTCAGTGATGGCCATTCCCCATCCCCACACACCCCAGGCTCAGCACTTTCATGCAGTACCTTAAGAAAATGAGTGTAGAGACCTTGAACAGGGCTTTCATCAGTGATGAAACAGTGCCAAGGAGGACAGCAGGGCAGTGTGTTATCAGCAGCCCCACATCCAGCACCCAACGGGGTCACACAGTGAACACTGTCTATTTTTAAGGGTAACAAAAATATTTTCTGAAAGACAATTGCATGAGGAACTCAGCAGCTGCACAGTCTCTCCTGATCTCCTCGTTTCACTTGGAGAGAACTTTAGGAACCCTGGACACAGGACCCTAGGATGCCATGCAAACCTCTGGTATTACTGGTTTTTTAATCTACCTCGAATTGGATCTCAGCTAAAAAGCAGAAGTAACAACAAATGTGGCTTTATACTGGAACAGAAGAGTGAGGGCAATCTGTTGTGGAGGCAGTTAAAATAAATTCCTGTGCAATAAAGCTTCTGATCGTTTGTTCACTGTGCAGTGCAGGATTTTCTGCTGAGGCACAGAGCAAGAGCCCAGATTCCTGCTTGACATTCCAGTACAGGTCTGGGTCTTCCTGCAGCTTCCATCGTCCAGCCTGATCTGGAGATGAGTAGCAAAAATTGCTGTGCAGTGTAAAATTACACAGTTTTGCCTCTGACACGTACATTCTATGGTCCTGCCAGTCTCAGTTTCCCACTCAAAACCGTGCCACAACTGGTCACCTAGCCACTCCTGGACCAGTCCCTCAAAAAGGATGTTCCTGATCTGGAGATGCCCCCCATGAATAAGAGCAGCTCTCCTCAGTGAAGCCCCATTTTTACAGCATCATTCTTTGAATTTTTCAAATTCTTCTGCCAAGCATCCACAATACTCAAACCACAATAGCTGGTGAGGGCTGTGTACCCAGCTACTCACACCTAATTGTTACCTCATCTTTCCACCTATTAATCCTCATTACTTGCTCTGATTGGACCTGCCTCAGAAATTTAAGTCTCTATACAATGAGTATATGCGTATCTGTACATAAAATAACTCTTAAGTGTTATTATTTAGGATTTTTGAGCCTAAACCCATGCTATTGCAGTTTGGGAAGCATCCTGTATGTGGGAAAGGTGGATGGCCACTAAAAGACACAGTGATGAGACTCTCCCTGCTCTTAATAACAATACTTCCTATGACAAGTCCAGCATGGGAGAATCAGAGCCCAGGCAGCCACAGGGAAATGGCAACGGGAAGGAGAAGGCAGCGAGTCCCCTTTCTGTGGGCACGGCCAGAGCTGCAGCAGCACGTTCCCCTGGGAAGGAGCAGGCAGGGCTTCCTGCTCCTCTGCCCCCACAAACCTCCTGCCCTCTGAGCAGCTCTGGGCCATGAGCTTCACAGAACTCAAGGGCTGTAGCTGAGCTGGTCTCTTCTGTGACAATGAAACACTGCAAACTGTGACAATACCAGCAGTGTGAACACAAGTGGGGGGTACCGGTGAGAACAGCCCTCAGGCAGGTCCTAGCAGAGCTGTGAAGCAATTCAACCTGTGACACGCTCAACACACTCCAAAAATCAAGGTCCAGCAAGGTCCTCCCCTCCAGAAGCAAACGCCCCTCAGCAGAGCTGCCGGGGGATGCAGCGGCTGGACACCCCGACGGCCGGACAGCTGGACACCCCGACAGCTGGACACCCCGACAGCTGGACAGCCCGACAGCTGGACAGCCCGACGGCTGGACACCCCGACGGCCGGACAGCTGGACACCCCAACAGCTGGACAGCCCGACAGCTGGACAGCCCGACGGCCACACACCCCGATGGCTGGACAGCTGGACACCCCGACAGCGGGAGACCCCGACGGCTGGACACCCTGACAGCCAGACAGCCGGACACCCCAATGGCCGGACAGCCCGACGGCCGGACAGCCAGACAGCTGGACACCTCGATGGCCGAACACCCCAACAGCTGGACAGCCAGACACCCTGATGGCTGGACACCCCGACAGCCGGACACCCTGATGGTCAGACACCCCAACAGCCAGACACTCCGACAGCCGGACATCCTGACACTGGACACCCCGATGGCCGGGCACCCCAACAGCCAGACACCCCAACAGCCAGACATCCTGACGCTGGACACCCCGATGGCCGGGCACCCCGACGGCCGGACACCCCGACGGCCGGACCCGCTGAGTGCCCCAGCAGCACACCAGGCACTGCTCCTTCCCTCGGCTCCTGCCCGCTCACAGGAGGCACACAGGATCCAGGGCACCCTCCCTGGAGCCTTTCTCTGCCCTGCTGGGCCATCCTGCAGCCTCCCAAACCAGCCCCATCTCCCCATCCCACAGGGCATGCAGCTCTCTGAAATCTTACTGGGTTCTCTCCTCCAGTTTTCCAGACTGCAGCACGAGACGAAGGAGTAGGCATTTAGGAGGGGGACAAATGGGACACTCACAGGGCTCACAACACCCCACGTGGGTGAGGATCCACACAGCCACACGTCAAACCCCAACGCATCAGCACGTGGCACTTTGGAAATGAAGACCAGTCTGCAGAGAAGTTCTCTCCTAATTCCCACCAGTGTCAGCAGGAGCTGTAGCAACACAGATTTCCAAGGTATTTCACAATAACCTTCAAAACCACAACAGGAAGATTTAATTCCATTTTTAAAGCCCACAAAACAACTCACTGTTATTCTGTGTACAAAGAGCAAGAGCTTTGCTGCTGTGTTGGCCAACTGGATATCAGATACCACAGCAGATTTGTGTAAGGTCAGTGTGAACGGATTGAGATAAGATTTTTGGTTTTCCCATTACAAGAGAATTTGTCTAAAATCAGTCTCAATAATTGGCCTAAAGTCAGGCTGCTTTGGCTTGTAGATTTATGAAAAGAGGGAAATAGCCTTCCCTTTAGCACTGCTCTTCAGCTTTTATTCAGCTGCACAGAACTCGATTCCTGTACCTGAGTGTTTAGGACACATCTTTAATGTGCACTAACATCAGCAAGGCAAGAGGTCACTTTTCTAAAGAAGCACCAGCAAAGCTCCACTCCGGACCCAGGAGCACCATGGCTGCCTCACACACGGGGAAACCAGAGGGACAGAAATGTGAGCAGGAAACTCCAGCTTTAGACCTTTGGTTTTCACAGGACAAAGCCAAGACCCCTCTGACAGGTGTACACAAAACTCTTTTGATACTATAAACACATATACAAACCAGATCAAAACAGCAAGTTAAAAGGACCTTATAGTGTAAACCTGGGGTTTAAGGATGAACACAATAAAGAGAGGGAAAAAAAAGCAGATGATCTTTCTTTTCCTGGGCAAGTCATGCCTTGATGTCTCGATGCTGCTGCACACAAGGACAGGTAACACCTGTAAATACACACACATGCTCCCAAGAGGAGCCTCCACATCTCTTCACTACTGGCATTGGAACGGCTTTGGAGAGAGAAACACCCTGTACACACACAGGATGAATCCACACTTCCAGCCATAACACCAAACCTCCATTTTAAAGTTCTGCATCAGCCAAGAAACTACGTGCAGGGCTCCAGCGTCATCCTGCACGGTCAGGAACCAGCCCAGCACCTGCCAAGGCACCTGAGCACACCCCACCGGGCCGGCACCGGGGACCGGAGAGCCGCGAGCAGCCCGGTCAGCGGGGCAGGCGGGACGTACCTTGCTGGGCATCTTGGCCAGGCCCATCCTCACACCTGCGCTCCAGGTGGGCAGCGCGGGGACGGCCTCCGGATCCTTCCAGCCTCCGCCGGCGGGATGTAAGTTCCTTATTTATTTACTCGAGGAGGTGGGAAAGTCCAGGAGCTGGGGACAGAAAGGGCTGTCACGAGGGGGTCCCGCCGCCCCCTCCCACCGTTACCTCCATCCCGCCCCGGGCCGGCCGGCGGGGCCGGGCCCGGCAGCGCTCGCAGCGCGGCCGGGGGCGCGGGGGGCCGGGGGCTGCCGCCACCCCCGATCCTTCTCGAAGCCCCCCGGGCCCGGCCTC